ACTTGGGCCCCTCCTACCCACGTGGGATGCTCAAATGGAGTTCCTGGCTGCTGTAGCTACTTGGGGAGGAGTGAACCAGCAGATGGGAAAGTGCTCACTCTTTCTCTCTCTCACTCTGTCTGCCTCCTTCCCTCCCTCTATTTCTTTTATCACTCTGCTTTTCAAATAAGTAAATTTAAGACTCAAGCTTTATGTTTCTGATTCAACCTAAGTATTCACAGATGAAAGAATGGATAAAAACAATATGGCTTATAGACACAAGGAGTATGACTTAGCTGTGAAAAGGGATGAACCTATCATTTGCGGTAGCATTGGTTGAGCTGGAGAACAGTACATTAAATGAAATAAGTTAGGCATAGCGAGATAAATACTGCATGTTTTCATGTATATGTGGAAGCGACAAAGTTGACCTCAAACAAGTAGAGTAGAACGTTGGTGGAGCCTAGGTAGGATGAATGTGGGGCAGGTCTGCAGAGAGGACAGCCAACAGGAACAGCCGCCACAGGCAGTTTGTAAAAAAATAACAGGGTGGCTTGATAAGGAAGACTACGACAGACAGCGCCTGGAATCTTGACTGATGGTGCCAGACACTGAGGTCAAATTCTGCGGACGATAACTCACAGGTGGGCAGAAGTACAAGACCAAGGTCAAAGCCTGCAGGGGAGGGTCTGCAGCTGGGTGATGGCCCAAGGCCACAGGTCTGCGTGCTTTAGGATATTCTTGAGACAGTGGGTTACTGACTTCTGTGGGTTACACTGTTGCTTCCTCATCATCAAGTGTTGGTTGGTTAATATCAATATGGGATGTAGCTACCAACCTTGGTACCACATCAATTTCTGTAATGTGACTCCCCAAGCAATTAAATAAAAGATTGAGGCAGTGAGTCTTCTAGGTCCATCTCCTTCCTCAGAGAAGGAGGCTTCCCCCCAGGCCACCCTGTTTTCATTGTGTTTATCTTGTATCTGTCTCATTTCTTATTTTCTCACCTGCATGTTGTCCCCTCTGCAATTCTGTTCGTGCTGCGGGCATTGGTAAGAGGGGTATGAGCAAAGAGGAAGAGTAACTCTCGATGGCCTATAACACAGCAGGGAAACAAGAGCTGACAAGAGGGCCCGACAGTGTGGCCTAGCAGCTAAAGTCCTTGCCTTGAACACGCCGGGATCCCATATGGGCGCCGGTTCTAATCCCAGCAGCTCCACTTTCCATCCAGCTCCCTGCTTGTGGCCTGGGAAAGCAGTCGAGGATGGCCCAAAGCTTTGGGAACCTGCACCCGTGTGGGAGACCCGGGAGAAGTTCCTGGATCCTGGCCTCAGATCGGCATAGCATCGGCCATTGTGGTCACTTGGGGAGTGAATCATTGGACGGAAGATCTTCCTCTCTGTCTCTCTTCCTCTGTGTATATCTGGCTTTCCAATAAATAAATGCATCTTTAAAAAAAAAAGCTGACAAGAACTAATGGAAGTTATGCATCTCAATTGTTAAAATGTCATTGAAATAGTTGCAGAAGGTTGTTAAGAACTTACATGTAATTTTAACATATTGTTTACTCAATGCTATGTCAATTAATTCCATAACGGTATATTTTGTTGCTGCTGGGGCTTTTAATTGATCGGGATCTTGCTCTCTTGGCCCTACCTTCAGACCAAAGAAGGTCTCCTCAAGAAGCAGATGAACTTATCTGGATAATAAGATGCTGGACTCTATGTTTGGTATATGCTTGCAATGAAGGTGTCTCAACTGATCTTGAACTGAGGTCTCACAACGGGGTGGAGGAGTCCACCATGGGGGGAGGGGGAGGGGAATCCCAGTACCTACAGAACTGTGTCTCATAATACAATGTAATCAATAATTTAAAAAAATAAAAAAAAAGAACTAATGGAATATATTCAACACACCAGAGAGGATTCTGAACGCTCCCAACACAAAGAGATGATGAATGCCTGACATGATTTGTGTCAATTATAAGTGAATATATACTTATACATTTATTTTATTTTTATTTGAAAGGCAGGTTTACAGAGAAAAGGAGAGAGAGAGATCTTCCATCTGCTGGTTCACTCTTCAAATGACCACAATGTCAGGAGCTTCTTTTGGGTTTCCCATGTGAGTGCAGGGACCCTAGGACTCAAACCACCCTCTACTGCTTTCCCAGGCCATAAGCAGAGAGCTGGATCAGACATGGAGCAGCCAGGACACGACCTGGCACTTATGTGGCCCTGAAAAAACATACATATTCTAGACCCCCAAATTGTCTTTGCTCTTCCCATAGAACCATACTGCTTGCTAGCAGGGCAGAAGGACTTTTGTATCAACACCCTTAAATGCTGTATGCTGCCATCTATTTCAAGATCAAATACAGGCCAAAGTTCCCTATGATGACACAGGTAAGTATTGCAGCTACTTTAGCAATGATGATGGATCAGGAGGGAGGGGTTGTGATGCTGAGTAGGTTTCACGGGTATATACGCTCCTAAAATGGATCTGTATGCTTATGATTTATGTACTTAACTGTATATACACTACACACAGGTAGAAAGGCTAATAAAAGCAAATTTACTAAGTGCTGTGAACTTTTTTAAAAAAAATTTATTTTTTTATTTGTATATTTCAAAGTCAGATATACAGAGAGGAGGAGAGACAGAGAGGAAGATCTTCTGTCTGATGATTCATGCCCCAAGCGGTCGCGATGGCCAGAGCTGAGCCAATCTGAAATCAGGAGCCTGGAGCCTCTTCTGAGTCTCCCACACGGGTGCAGGGTCTCAAGGCTTTGGGTCATCCTCAACTGATTTCCCAGGCCACAAACAGGGAGCTGGATGGGAAGCGGGGCTGCTAGGATTAGAATCAGCACCCATATGGGATTCCAGCACATGCATGACAACGACTTCAGTCACTAGGCTACCGCACCAGGCCCAGTGAACTTTCGTAGAATGGGTTCGTTGTGTCATGCCAGTGGTCCCATCTTGCTTCAGTCTTCTCTCTAATCTGCCTCCAAACAACCCGGACTGACACAATCACAGATCTCTAGAAGTGAGACACTGCTTGGGTGCTTCTGCAGGGGCTCCTTGTGAAAGTTTAATGAGAACAAAGCTGGAGTCCTCCCCAGGAATGCCCAGGACTTGGGGGGGAGCACTCCATTGGCTGCCAGTTGGGGGACTCGGAGAACTCCAATTCAGATCCCCAGCGCCAACTCAGTGCTTTCCCCACTGATGACAAGGACAGGCCCAGGGAGGGCCAACAGCCCTCTGAGGGGCTGAGGGAGGGCAGCTCCCAGCTTCTGTATCAGATTGCTCTGCAATTCACCCTGTGGAACCTCTAGAGACGTGCCCCAAAACTCCTTCAGTGGAGTTTTCAATCTGGAACTCCTTGCATCACACCCTCTGTAGCCTGAGCCACAGCTGAAGCTGCTCAAACTTTACATATAGGAAACCAACAGGGCCAAAGCCCACTTGGGGAGGGCGCGATGGCTCAACTGGCTAATCCTCTGCTTGCAAGTGCCAGCATCCCATACAGGCACTGGTTCATATCCAGGTTGCTCCACTTCACATCCAGGACCCTGCTTACGGCCTAAGAAAACAGTGGAGGATGGCCCACAGCCTTGGCACCTTATACCAAAAGAAGATCCTGGCTCCCAGCTTTGGATCAGTTCAGCTCCAGTCACTGTGAACATTTGGGGATTGAACCAGCGGATAGAAAAGATCTTCCTCTCTCTCCTTCTCTCTGTAAATCTGCCTTTCCAATAAAAATAAATAAATCTTTAACAGAGAGATCTCCAAAGCCCATCTCAAACCTCAGAACTGAAATTAAAATGACCTTCCTTTTCCGTACATGTGTTTCAGTGAAACCAACCCTGAAATATTGTCCTGTCTTGACTTCAAAAGTTTAAAACTTCCTTCTGCCTAGCACAGTAAAGACCGAACTTACCCTTGACTAAGTGGTCTGTGACCCACCAACCACCATGAAACTCCAGCCTGTCCCAGGAAATCTTGGCCATTTGTACTCATTCGGTTTGCTCAGTTTTGACCAGGAGTCATTACTGCCAGTCTCCGCCACCCCCTCAAAAAAGGAGCCTGTGACCCGAAAAAATTCTGAGGGCCATTTCTTCTCTGCTGAAAAGGCCTGACCTGGGCTGGAGTCCCCAGCACAGAAAAGTGCCCCAGCCTCAGACCGCAAATGCCTTTGGACCCCATGTCCTGGGGAGAGGCGTGGGGACATGACACAGGCCTGCGAGAGAAGCCAGCAGCCCCAGGCTCTGCCTGCCAGAGGTTGTGTGGCTCCTGACTAAGCCACTCTGACAGCACCACCATCTTTATCACGTAGGAACGCAGGGTGCCACCTGCCCACCGCTCCACCACAGCGTGTGCCAGCTAAGGTCCCAATCACATCACCGGCTCTCCGAGGCGATCATAGGGCCATGCCAGATGTCACGAACCAAGCAAGCAGCTGATATCCAAGGACCCAACACCTTGACCTGAGGCAACCTAGCTTAGTAACCCTGATTCCCGCATGAGACAAAAAAAAAAAAAAAAAAAAACAAAAACAAACAAAAAAAAAAAACGTGTGGCCAAGAGGCACTAAAGACGTTGGGAAATGGGTATTGCTGGGTTGCCCTGGCATTGATTTTTCTAGGATAGGGTGTAATTCCACCTTCCCAGCACCCCCAAATCTCCAACCTTTCCCATCCATGCCTGGAAGCCAGAGGGGGGAGGCGAACACAAGGAGCTGAAGAGAGACCAGAGCGAGGCGTGCGAGGTTCAGCCGCGGGCAGCAGGAGGCCGCCCGGGAGCCCTGCCCACGTCGGGTGCCAGGTTGCCTCTGGCGCTCATGGGAGGGCCGGGACTTGCCCCAGGCGTGGACACGCCCCCTCCAGCGCCGCGCCGTCCAATCAGCGCTTCGTGCTGGCGCCCCGCCCCTGCGCCGCGGCCATATAACCGCCGCGGCCTCCGCAGCGCAGTCGTCGCCCGTGGGTCGGTTCTTTGGGGGTTGGTGGAGTTCCCTCCGCAGCGCGCCTGACCGCTCCCCGGCCCCGTCCCCGACCCCAGGGCCGCCGGTCAGCAGCTGCCCCCAGCTCTCCCCTCGGCAGCCCCGGCTCCCTCCCCGCGGCTCTCGCCTCCTCCGCGGGCCCGCGCCATGCAACTGAACCGGAGGCCCGCGGCGCTGGGGCTGCTTCTGTTGTGCGTGGCGGCGGCGGGCGCGGGCGACACGGAGGAGCTGCACTACCCGCAGGGCGAGCACCGCGCCGACTACGACCGCGAAGCGCTGCTGGGCGGCCAGGTGAGGCGGCCGAGGCCCCGAGGCCAGGCGGGCCCGGCCACTCAGCGCCGCGGTCGCGGGCTTTGTCCCGGGACAAAGAGGGGCGGCCGGCCCGAGGCCTGGCTGGGACGGCCTGACAATGGGGGTCGGGCGGTGGGGGGAGGTCTCCGAAGCCATCAGAGGGGCTGGATGTCCTCTCCCCCTCTGATACCCCCTTTTCCCCTCTCCCCCGGCACCGAGGGTCTGCAAGGGGGGCCTCGGCGAGCAGGTGTGTGGGTCACCCCGAGAATCTCAGCCCAGGGAGGGGTCTCCGGTCGTGCAGGTTTTTTTTTTTTTTCTTGCAGTTACCTCATCTCATTGATTAGTAATTCTGGGCCTTCCCCTCTTTCTGATCGCTTCCCTCCCCCCAACCCCAACCCGAAGGAAGAAGTGGATGAATATGTAAAACTAGACCACGAAGAGCAGCAGAAGAGGCTGCGAACCATCATCAAAAAAATTGACTCGGACTCAGATGGGTTTCTCACGGAAAGTAAGGACCACCTTGAATGAGGGTGGAGGTGGGAAGTGGGCTGGTGGTGGGAGTGTGGACCTGCCAGCGGGAGAGGGGCTGGGCACTTGACAGGAATGGGGAGCCCCCTACCTGGGGGGGCGTGCCCAGGCCCCCTCACCATATACCTGGGATTCATTTTGGAGAAGTACCCCCCCCATATATACACTTGAAGTTTAACGAATTAGCTACTTCGTATAAGCAAAGTCCTGAAGGACCTGTTGCTTGTGAAGTTTGTTTTATTTAAATGTGAGGGGAGGGGGAAAGGGGCCTTAGATTCGTGGGGTCCACCTGTGTTTGCTGAGGAGTTAGGCCAGGCGTGGAGACTAAAGCCCAGAGTGGTGGGTGGTTCTTTCACATAACTGGTCCAGCCAGGACTGCGTCCATGTGGGTCGCCCTTCACGTTGTCATATGCTTCAGTTCAAAAGCAGAAGACTCTCCTGCTGCTCCTGGGTAGATTCTCGGAGTCTACTTCTTGACTGTTCAGTCTCTGGCTCTAGTCAGAGGCGAGATGCACAGACCACTCCAAGAGTATTCTAACTCACCGTGCAGCTGTCTCCCGCGTGCTTGCATGTGAGGGAATCCTACCAGGCTTCCGGTTGGCTCTTCAGGGGGACCACACAGCTGTTGGTGTGAGGGGGCAGGGCAGCCTGTGACTCTCAGATCATCACTTCCCAGCCCCCAAGGAATGAGGTGGTCAGGAAGAACTGCCCGCTGGGTGGTTTAACCAATGACCTGTTCCTGTGTCTGGGCCCTCAGGCGTATCAAGGCTTTGATCCTATAACAGCAGGGACAAACCCTTTGGGTTCTCATTGTCCTCGAGATTGACTTTTTTTTTTAAAGATCTATTTATTTTTATTGGAAAGGCAGATTTACAGAGAGATAGATCTGTCTGCTGGTTCACCCCCAGGTGGCTGTAACAGTCAGTGCTGAGTCAGCCCAAAGCCAGGAGTCAGGAGCTTCTTCTAGGTCTCCCATGCGTGTGCAGGGTCCCAAAGCTTTGGGACGTCCTTGACTGCTTTCCCAGGCCACAACAGGGAGCTGGATGGGAAGTGGAGCAGTCAGGATTAGAACCGGCGCCCATATGGAATCTTCGGTGTGCAGGACAAGGATTTAGCCAGTAGGCTACCACGATGGACCCTGTGAGAATCTCTGCCTGTGGGAAGCTCTCACCCTCCCTGCTGACCCTCTGGAGGATTCTGGCGGGTTTGCACTTGGAGGCCAGAACTGGCCTCAGGTTGTTAGGAGCCTCACTCAGTCCTAGGGGTCAGCTGTGCAGCCACCTGCGGTCTGACTCTAGTCAGTGCTGCCTGCAGGCGTGGGCAGCTTCACACTTCCTCAGCCCCTGTCTCCTGAGCTGGAAACGGTGATAAGAAGAAGATAAGACACAGCATAGGCAGAGGGTTTGATGCAGAGGAATGAACTGTTCAGCTAACCTCTCCAAGCCAACAGAAGAGTGACACTCTTTAAACCAGAGTGCATTGCTTTAGATCCAGCGCTACGTCCATGGTATCTTCTTGAATCGTTGCATTCTTCCCCTCTTCCTCGTTTTGCCCTAAAACTCTGTAGTAAATATCCCTGTGAACCTGATTTTTTAAAAGAAGTGAACATTGGAGACTGAGAAATTTTTCTCCTGTATCTCCAGTTACCAGGTTTAGATGGGCAGCTCTTGCAACCAGGACATAAATCAGAATTGTTACCCATAAACTGTATTAACGCTTCCTGCAGCTATTTTATGACATGTAGAAAGGAAGCAGCCTGGAACAGTATTTCTCAAACTTGAGTCGCTTGAATGCTTTTTCATAATTTAGCTCACATCTAATTACCATTGGTTATTTCCGTGCTATAACTTTGATTCAACTCATGTAAAACACATCTTGAAGGAAAGTAACGGTTTTTCACAAATGCAAAGCCGCTATTGAAGAAGTTCAAAAGCTCCTGAGAAGAGTTAAAAGATAGACTTGATTTTGGTGCCAAAGAGAAAAAAAAAAATTAAACACCGTGGTTTCTCATGATCTACATTTTCCCCTGAACTTTTTGAAGACCTGCATACTTTAAAATTTTCCAACGTTTTTACACCAAAATAAACTTAATTCCACTGTCTGCAAGCTTTGAACTGTCCTTGTAAATAGACAGCTATTCACATACTGTGCTTCCTGAGAGAACTCTGGTAGTTAGCAAAGATTATATGCTATTTTTTTAGATAATATGACAGGAAACAAAATTGAGAATTCATTGAACAAGTGTTCGGTGCCCCAGGCACTTTCTAGGCATTTGGTTTGTGGTCAGGGAAGAAGATAAACAGGCACGCCCACCTGCACGCGAGGAGTTCCCTTTAGATCAGTCAGTGTGTTGGTACACTTGATTCAGCCAGCCCTCCTGGCCAGCAGCTTTCCACGGTATTTGCATATACCTAGAGAGGGCTTAGAAATCCCCTCTTCGGGGCTCAGAACTCACGTGGGGCGTGGGAAATCCCCTCAGGTGAGCTCAGCTCGTGGATCCAGATGTCCTTCAAGCATTACGCCATGCAGGAAGCCAAGCAGCAGTTTGTGGAGTACGACAAGAACAGCGACGGCAGCGTGGGCTGGGACGAGTACAACATCCAGATGTACGACCGGGTCATCGACTTCGACGAGAACACGGTGCTGGACGACGCGGAGGAGGAGTCCTTCAGACAGGTGAGCAGGCGGGGGCAGCTCCCATGCGGGGTGGTGCCCCTGCCCCTTGCCCGCCCGCGCCCTGCAGGCAGCCACGTCCATTTCCGGTTTGCTTTCCATAGGCATGCGTAGCACTCATTTTTGGATTATCCAGGTTATCCTCACAGAGCTGCTTCATTTATTCGTCCTCATTTCCAGCAGGATTTGAGGGTTTTTTGTTGGGTTTTGTCTGTAGAGTTTAAGTATGTATCCCAGTGTTTAATTTTGTTTTTTACCTCATCAGACAGTCAATTTTGTATTTCCTGTAAGACTATCCTCCATTCCTATGGTGAAGCGTGTAGTTTTATATAAAAGAAGGTCTTGAAATATTTTCACTAGTGGTAAATCATAACACATTTGCTAAGGTAACTTTTTAAAAAATATGTATTTATTCATTTGAAAGTCAAAGCTACTGAGAGAGAAGGAGAGACAGACAGCAATCATGCTCTGCTCGTCCATCTGCTGGTCCACTGCCCGGATGACCGCGACAGCCAGGACTGAGCCAAGCCTTAGCCAGGAGCTTCTCCCAGGTCTCCCTCTAGGAAGCAGTGCCTGGGCCATCTTCCACTGCTTTTCCCATACCGTTAGCAGGGAACTGGATAGGAAGTGGAACAACCAGGGCACAAACCAGTTCCCATATAGGATGCTGGCATGGCAGGTGGCAGCCGTACTTCATGCAGCATAATGTCCTCAAGATACATCCATATGGTTGCACATGTCAGAATTTCCTAACTAAATAGGAAGAAGAACATTCCGAAAAAAGGCCAAATCCTATCCTGTGTGTCTACCACATGTTCTATTTGTTAAGCTGGCAAGGAATACCTGGTGCCGCTTGTTCAGCTTTTCAAATGCTGCTGCTGTGAACGTGGGATGTGCCTGTCCCTTCGCCTGCTTTTAATTCCCTGGGGCATATACTCACAGGTGGGATTGTTGAGTCATGATAATTCTCTTAATTTTTTTGAGCCATTTAATACAGTTTTCTATAAGAGGCTGATCACCTAAGGGACTTATTTAAAAATATTCAGTAATTACTAAGCGTTCCCCTGGGTTAAAGCCGTCTTCATCAAGCAGAGCTGAGGAAGACAAGTTTTGGTTAGGAATCAAGACTGTTAAACATAAGCATAGCAATACATATCACTGTAAGCCTACAGAGTTGCTTTTTCAGGTAATTGTTGAATTCTTCAAAGATGATTTTAAGGAATTTTTTTTCTGAAAATATTTGTTAAGTGTATTTTTTATTTATAGCGAAGACACAGAGATGCTACAAAAAAAATTTTTTTTTATTTACTTGAAAGGCAGAGCTGCAGAGAGAAGTAGGGAGAGAATCTTCTGTCCACTGGTTCACTCCTCAGATGACTGCAATGGCTCAGGCTAGGCTGAGCCAAAGCCAGGAGCTTCTTCCAAGTCTCCCATGGGGGTGCAGGGGCCCAAGCATTTGAGCCATCTTTCACTGCTTCCCCAGGCACATTAGCAGAGGGGGAAGCAGAGTAGCTGGAACTTGAACCAGCACCCATATGGAATGCTGGCACCACAAGCAGCAGTGTGCTGAGCTGTGCCACAGCCCGAGCTCCAGACAGAGGGATCTTTGGTTGGCTGGTTCTCTCCCCCAATGCCCATAACAGTTGAGACTTGGCTAGGCTGAAGCCAGGAGCCCAGAATTCAATCCATGAATCTCAGAACTCATTGTGCCATCCAATTGGAGTCCTGGAATTCAATCTCCTGTGTAGCTCGTAGGAATGCTTGTACTTCAGCTATCCCCTGCTGCTGCTTGGACCATGCATCAGCAGGAAGCTAGAACCGTGAGCAGAGCTGAAACCTGAACCCGCGTACTCTGCTATGGGTTGTTTGCATCCCATGCAGCTTCCTAATTTCCTTTATTGTTAATATTTATTTATTTTTATTGGAAAGGCAGATATACAGAGAGGAGGAGAGAAAGGAAGGTCTTTTGTCCATTGATTCGAAGCCAGGAGCCAGGAGCTTCTAACGTGTCTTCCACATGGGTGCAGAGTCCCCAGGCTTTGGGCTGTCCTCGACTGCTTTCCTAGGCCACAAGCAGGAAGCTGGAAGGGAAGTAAAGCAGCCAGGACATGAACCGGCACCCATATAGGATCCCAGAGTGTACATGGTGAGGACTTCAGCTGCTAGGCTACTGGGCCAGGCCCAAGGCTTCTTAATTTTTGTTACAATTTTTCATTGCACTTCTTATCTATTTTAGAATCACATTGTCCTCTTGTGTTTTATAGGCCACGACTAACTTAAACCTTGTTGTATTTCTACTCAAGATTAAGTAGAAGCAAGGCATAAAAGGATGTCCCCCGCTCCCCCCCCAAAAAAAGAAGTCCATAGTCCCAGCTTCCTGCTGTGGCAGTCCCTGGGAGGTGATGGCTCAGCAGGTTGTTGAAGTCCTGCCACCCACGAAGGAGAGACCTGGATTGCCTGCTGGCTCCTGGCTATAGCCAAGGGTCCGCCCTCACCATTGCTGTCTGGGGGAGATGAGCGAAAGCTGTGTGTGTGTGTGTGTGTGTGTGTGTGTGTGTGTCTCTCTCTCTCTCTCTCTCTCTCTCCTTCAAGTAACGTCCTCACCATTGCTGTCTGGGGAGCTGGAGACCTGACCTGAGCTCCTGGCTTTGGTCCTGGTCTCCTGTGGGCACCTGGGGAGTAAGACTGTGGGGGGAGATCACTGTGTCTCTCTGCCTCTCAAATCATCATCTTTTTTTTTTTAAAAAAAAAAGATTTGCTTATTTATTCATCTGAGAAAGTGTGACAAAGCTCCTCCTTCTAATTCCCTCCATGTATGGCAGCAGCAGCCAGGTCTGTGCCAGGCCAAGCTAGACACCAGATACTTGGGCCATCTGCTGCTGCCTTTCCAGGCATTCATATTCCTGGAATTTGATTTTTTTTTTTCACCCAAGAACTTACGTAACCATTGTGCCATCCAGAAAGAAGCATGTGTCTGTGTTTGGGGAAGATGATAGAACAGATGATGGTATTGGCAAGAAAAGGTTTGAATTCCTTACTCTATGTGTGAGAAGCCCTCCTTTTCAGAGATGTGTCACTGGGGCAGTGCCCTAGCCACCTGCCGCAGCCAGGGCCAGACTGCAACCCACACAGGGATCCAAGTCTCCCCACATCAGGGGCCGGAGCCCAGTTCCTGGAACTGTCACTGCCCCGCCCCAGGGTGCAAAGCTGAAACCAGAGCTGAGGCTCGAACCCAGGCACCCTTGTAGGCTGAGTGTGGGCTCCAAGACTCTACTTTTTGAGAACGAATTAGATGAAGTTATCACGTAAAGGACTTGATAGAGCGTCCTCGGCTGGAGCCCTCTGGGATATGATGTGACACCCCAGGAGCATGTCCCTTATCTCCATGCAGTTGTGGTTATATTTATTTATTTATTTTTTTTTTTTAAAGATTTATTTTTATTATTTTTTTCATTGGAAAGGCGGATATACAGAGAGGAGAGACAGAGAGGAAGATCTTCCGTCCGATGATTCACTCCCCAAGTGAGCGCAATGGCCGATACTATGCCGATCCGAAGCCAGGAGCCTCTTCCGGGTCTCCCACGCGGGTGCAGGGTCACAAAGCTTTGGGCCGTCCTCGACTGCTTTCCCAGGCCACAGGCAGGGAGCTGGAAGGGAAGCGGGGCTGCCGGGATTAGAACCGGCGCCCATATGGGATCCCGGGGGTGCAAGGCGAGGACCTTTAACCACTTGCGCCACCGCGCCGGGCCCGGTTATATTTATTTTTTAATTAAATTAAATGCATAGTATAACCTAAGAATTGATATGTGGGGAATACAGATTAACTCTGAAACAATCGGCGTTGTTCTTCAAAATAAAAAAGGATGAGGAGTTCATCAGTCTCAGAATTACAGATTACATGTTATGTAATAAGTACAGCAGTAGTCATTGTGTGAAGAAAAGGAAGCATTCTCTATGGACATCTGCTGAAAACCCAAACTCAGCGGGGAAGATGCCTTCATCACACAGTGAAGTACCTGGGTTCCATCCTCGGCTCCTGACCCCAGCTTCCTGCTCATGCAGACCCTGGGAGGGAGCAGGGATGGTGGTGGCTCCACTAACGGGGCTTCTGCTGTCCTTGGGGAATTGGGAGGGTGGGAACTAGGGTGTGTTCCAGATCCCTGTATATCAGTTCATTTTGATGAAATGAGACTGGAGGCCACCCGGGGTACTGTGCCGACAGCTTCAGACTATGAAATGCCTGTGAGTGCATCTCTTGGAGGCACCATGGCCTTTGCAGCAGGGTCATGAACGTTGGGGGGCCTACCTGGCAGCAGGTGGGTTTCCCTCCTGAAGCCAGTCAGTCACTGAATGCACGTGTGGAAGCAGGATTGATTGATTGGTGTTGGATACACTCTTGCCTATGGCTGCTCGGGATCTTTTCAGACCCAGACTTTCATTGTGCTGTTCAATTACGTATTTCCTTATGTGACATCTTGAGTCTCCCGAAAGGTGGCAGTTCTGTTCCACAGAAGTTTGTGTCACAATATAAAACTAAATGACTGATGAGGGTTCTTGTTTCTTGTCATCCATAGCACATTCACCTCTGCTAAAATACAAGATTATTTTTTTTCTAACTCAACATGTTAAGATTTAAAAAAAAAAAATCTTGATTACTATTTTTGAAATGTCTATCTTGGGGGAAAAAACAACAAAACAGTCAATACCCTGGCTACTATAATTTAAAATGAACATCTCTTCCATTGTGTTTTTCAAATGACCTTGAAATGTGAACCAAGGTAAACTACCACCTTCTTATTTTTTTTTCAAATCTCAGCTTGTAAAAGAGATCCTTTCTCTCCACAGAAGTTGGCCACGCTTGGCTCCCTGTGCCGAGAGGTGGACCGCGCTGCTCCACACTGAAGGGTTCTTTCATAAGAAAATCTAAGCACTGGACCTTGCGGGCAGTGGTAGATTCCAGAAGAACCCGACCACCCCAGCCATGTCCCTCTGAATCTTGTTTATGTATTTCTCCCCAGGTCCAACCTGAACACTAATGGAGAAAATGGAGGTTATTCGTTGTGACCTAGGGGCCCCTGCAGCATGCCTGCAGAGAAGGCGCGTTCTTTGGGGAGAGGTGACCTGCCCTGTCCCAGCCAGGGGTCCTCAGGGGGGCCCGTCTTATGTCCATGCAAGTGTCTGCTACCCCAATCCCTGCTATTCTAAAGAGCCAAGCAGAGCCTCTTGCATTAACAGCGCAACACACACACCAAAAGCTGCTAAAATATTTGAACCTGTCATTTTTAAAAACCATACTGGTTTTCTACATAGCAGCCCATGGCAAGGAAAACCATTCCCTGAAATACGTAGGTGAGGAATGAGTCAGGGGGAGCAGTGTGCACCCCTGAGCTTCTGAGGCTCCTCCCAGAAAGTTCCTCAAAAAGCAGCCTTGTCCCTCATAGCTGCCGAACTGTTTAACCATCCAAGCATGCAGGGAAAAGGGGGTTAGGGGAGAGAAAGTACCAAAGGGTGCATGTTGATGCAGCCTCTGAAGGGGACCCATGCCAGCTTTTGGTGGGCTTTTCTGCACTTACAAAAATTAGCAGCATCAACACATGTAGCTATTCATAGCAGGAGACCCAACATAACATTTAGTTAGTACTTCCGGTGGCTACTTACTATGATACAGATTCTTATGCCAGTTGCTTAATGGAGATTTAAAAAAAAAATCCTGGTTGTATAGATGAAGAGACCAGAAAGGTGATGCTGTTTTCCGCGGGTGCCACAGCTGGGTGGGTAGTGACCCTGCTCCCACTAGGTCTGACTCCAGAACTCTCATGTCCTTCCATTGCCCCTCATAAATGCCACTACGAGGGCGGTTGAGAAAGCTTGTGGCCGGGTGGGATCCAGAGGTTAGTGCAGGAGCAGATGCTGGGCGTTGTGGCTGAGAGGCCGCCTGCCACACCTGCATCCCAGGGCCTGGGTTCTGGTCCTGCTCCCGCTGACGTAGCTCTTGATCCGCAGCAGGTGATGGCTCAGGCAGTTGGGTCCCTGTCGCATGGAGGAGAGACCAGATTGAGCTCTCAGCGCCTGGCTGGCGGGAAACCTGGGAAGTGAACCGACAGAGGAGAGTTTTCTCTCTTTCCCTCTGTGTGTGTTTGTGTAAATATGTGCTTTTTTAATCCAGTTTTCAAACCCGCATACACTTGTTTCATAATACACGTTTTCAGTGAATTTTCCAAAAGGCCGTCATAGTTATACAGCTTACCTTCAGATGGATCAAGATAAGCCAGATGATATGTGAGGATGTACTTTGGGTTGCATAGTTTGTATTTTTCAAAGTATGTTCAGTGATGTTGTGGTCCCGAAGAGACCTTACACGTATCCAAAACTTTGTAATTTTTCGAAGCTTCATTTAAAGGATAAGAAGCGATTTGAGAAGGCCAACCAGGATTCGAACCCGGGTTTGAGTCTGGAAGAGTTCATTGCTTTTGAACATCCTGAAGAAGTGGATTATATGATGGTAAGGAGGAACAGCTTTTCTAAGTCATTAAAATGAGAATTGCTGAGCAACTGAAACTATGGAAGCTGCTTGCAGGGTGTGTGGAAGTTCAGGAAGAAACGGGGCTACTGCGAACTTGAGGACAGGGAGAGGGGTTCAGTGGTGGGTGCAGGCAGGCCCCTCCGTGCCACGTGTGAGTAGCTGTTGGTTCTGGCTGTTGGTGTTCATGACCACATGACCACGTGGGCCTCACCCCTTTGTAGCTGAGAGGGCTGGTCACCACCCCATTTGGTTTGGCTTACAACACCCTGTGACAGTGCTTGACCTGGGAAGCGATCATATGAGTCTTTTCTGAACGCCCTGGGGAAGGTCCAGCTCCTGAGCTGGATGAGTAGTTCCACCACTTGCAGGCATACATAGAGTCCCTTTAGACTTGACAGGGGTACCAGCGCCTTACTCAGCTCTGGTGTGCTGGCTGAGGCCCCCGGTGGCATGAGAGAGGCTTCCTGGAGGGAGCAGAGAGCCTCCTGGTGCGGAGAAAAGGTGAAGCTGACTGCGTTAGAGATCGTTGGCTTCTCCCTGCTGTCGGTCAGGGGCACAGCCGCCCAGCTCTGTGGCTGTTGTACTTGTGCTGCCAGGCTAACACGGCTGTGAGTAGATTCCCCCCCACCGCTCAGGGGCAAGGTCCTGCAAGTGCTGGCCATGCTGGATGCACCCTGGTGAGGTGAGGACAAGGTCACCAAGCATGAGAATGGCAGGGGCAGGATGCTGGACCTCAGTTCTCAGGACAGTAGGCTACAGTTGAGGCTGGGAAGACAGGAATGACCAGTGAAAGCCCCAGAACGTAGGCCCAGTGTCACATGACACAGCAAAGGAGTGAAGCAGGTACATGGAAGATCGCCAGCGTGTCCCCAAGGTTATTTGAAACAAAAGCTGGAGGGGACTGTGAGGCCTGCAGAGCAGTAGTTCCTTAAAGGCAGGGCCCTCTGTGGTCATGCCTTGTCTGTATTGGACATGTGTGACCATGAAGTGGTGTCCCAATCAAGGCACTTCATTAATTCCTGTCCACCTTGCCTCCCCTGGTAGGGGTATAATTAATGCAGGACAAAGTAAGGGCACAGGATCCACTCTGTAACTCGCCTTCGGATTGGAGGAATGTGAAGAGCCTATCCTGGCATCCGTGAGGTTGCCCCAGGTCACACGAGTCATGCTGGCTGGTCAGCACTTCTCTTATTGGATCAAAGACTCTCCAAGGACACAATACAAACCACAGGCTCTGCCCAGGAAAAATACCGAATGATAACTTCAGGACATTGTCATTTCTTCCCTCTAGTAGTCTTTGGGTTCCTAGGTTAGGATACCCTGATTTTTGTGTGTGAAACCTGCAAGAGTTGATTTAAAAAATATATAACTCATGCCTTCATGCAGATGTAGGCGACCCCCTGCATTGGAATCTAGAGTTGGAAACTGCTGGGCTGCTAGAATTCAAATTGTGAGGTGCTGGGGCAGGGATGCCAGGGGCTCCACATGAGGGCTGGGAGGTTGGTAAAAGGTCTTGGGCCTGTGAACAGGCTGCTGGGCTAAAGGGAAGGAGAAGCTGGACCAGGGAATGGATTGGGGCTAGGCCCCGGAGGACAGTAAGCATTCATTCCCAAAGAAGCATGGCAGAGCAGGCTAAGAGGTCACTCAAGGGGAGGGTCATCGCTGGTGCAGTGTGTGGAGGACGTGGCTAGGGCAGGGTTGAAGAATGGCAGAGTGGCAGTGGAGGCTTTTGGCTGTGAGCTGGGTTAAGGCAGCTGAGACAGCCCAGGGCTGGGCTGTTGTAAGGCTCGCACATACTCTGTAAGAACCAGGCTTCCGTTTCTCTACTTTTAGACTTCATAGTTCTGGAAGAGGAGGAGAAAGTAATACAGCTATGATCTGTGGCTGGCACAGGGCCTAGCAGGTCAGAGCAGGGGAGGAGGATGGAAGTCAAGAGGGACAGGTTCCCCATACCGGTGAGGGTGTGGTCTCCACAAAGAAGGCTTTGCAAGAGTGAAGAACAGCAAGGAGGTTGGGGCTGGGGTGAGGTGTGGGTGGCTCTGGTGGAAGCAGCAGGGAGCCAGGCGTCTTGGGCACTAGCACGGCTCAGCCCTGGAGCAGGACCAGCAGTCATGTGCCCTGAGGGACTCTGGGTCAGTGAGTGGGATGGTTTGGAGAGCAGGTGAGGTGAGGGAGCCCCCAAGAGGGCAGGAACGGGGCAGGAACAGCAGCAGCAAGCTTGGTGCTTCTCCCTGGCACCCCAGGCTGAAGCGAGCTTAGTGCACCTGGTGGCTGCGGCTTTGATTTGCCTGCAGCCGCGAGGACAACCAGGTGACACAGGTGTTCTGAGGAGCTGTGCTATAGGACCGACAGCGTGGTGGAGGTCAAAGTTGGTGACTTTTTTTTTAATGAACCTACAACAGGAATTTGTCATTGAAGAGGCTTTAGAAGAACATGACAAAAATGGTGATGGATTTGTAAGTTTGGAAGAATTCCTTGGTGACTACAGACGAGATCCAAGTAAGTTGCCTGTGGGGAATGAGACGGAGGGGGAAATGTGACCCAAGAAAGAAATGGAAAGACAGTCTTGCTTCCAAGGGTACTGCCAGACTGGGGACATAAGACCAGCAGCCGCTCCCAGGGGGGTCCCCTGAGATGGCAGGCTCAACAAAGGGGTTCATAGCTTGCTTTACGTTTTCTTTCGAGACAAGTGTAATTAATTGAAACGAAGAACTAAAGGTTGACTTTTAAATATAAATATATATATATATTTTTTTTTATTTGAAAGGCAGAGACACAGAGAAGGAGCGACAGAAAAAGAGAAATCTGGAATCTACTGTTTCATTCTCCAAATGGCCATAAAAATCTGAGCCAAAAGCTAGGAGATTCTTCCTGCTCTCCCATATGGATGCAGGGGCCCAAGCACTTGAGCCATCCTCCATTGCTTTCCCAAGCACATTAGTAAAGAGCTGGATTGTAAGTGGAGCACCCAGGACTTGAACCTGTGCCCATACGGGATACTGGCATTTTAGGTGGAGGCTTAGTGTGCTACACCACAGAGCCAGCCCTTAAGTTGACATTTTAAAGCAAAATCCTGTACCTTTTCATATATAAATGAGAAAAACCTAAAATACTAAGTTTGAAATTAGAATTCTCCTTTCCACCAATAGCCATCTTTTTTTCCCCAGAATTATTGCATATAAATATCATATAATGCCATCTTAGAATTGGTTCACCAGTTTCACTTCTGGTGAACATCACTTTAAAACTGCACCTCTGGCACCCAGCCAGTTTGGTCTCACCCTTTGAATGCCCACAATCCACTCACGATTCTAACTCCCAGCTGAGGTGGGCCCTGGGAGGGGCCAGGGATGAATCGGGTAGGTGGGTCATCTGGCCTAAGTTCCAGCCCCTAAGCCATTGCAGACATCTGAGGGTACCTGTCTATATGTCTTGTTGCCTTTTTTTTAAATTACATGTCATTACTTTGAAAGATCATAGGAAACCTTAACATAGCCACATGATTTACATAAATACCATCCAATTCAGATTTGGGAAAACTACATTTCAAAACACAAAGCCACCCCCAACAAAATGACTAGTTCATTAATATTTTTAAAAAAAAGAAAAGAAAAACATGAAGCTTCAAGCTATAAATTATTTAAACTTCTGTATAACTTGTGAAAACCACTGCCTATTTGTGTTTCTCGTGGGACTTCTCAGCCACCTTGGTGTGTTTCTCCGGACTGGCTTTACGGAGTAAACCTCCAATTCACCTGCTTCACTGCCGGGATGCCCCACACTTCCTGTTAGATGCTATCGAATGTGCTTGTGTGTGTTTGTTTCTGTTAAGCTGCAAATGAAGACCCGGAATGGATACTCGTGGAGAAGGACAGGTTCATGAACGACTACGATAAGGACCACGATGGCAGGCTGGATCCCCAGGAGCTGCTGTCCTGGGTGGTGCCCAACAACCAGGGCATTGCCCAAGAGGAGGTGGGTTCTCCCTCCCAGCCCTGCGACCGCTTCCTCCATTTCCCAGTTAGTGCTGTTGATAGAAGAAGGAACGAAGGGGTTCGTGTTTAGGACCGAGACCGCTTTATGTGTGGAGTTAGATCCCAGCAGATCTAGGTTGGCGGGGGCGGAGACAGACGAGTGAGCCACAGCCAAGAATGGGATAATGGAGGGTTTGCCTGCGGGAGCGCCAGGTGGGCTGTAGTAGTGTGGCCGAACCTTGAGCTGTCCTGAATTGGATTTGAGCGGTGCAATGGGAAGCGTGGCATACCTCAGATACTTAAACAGTAATGAGCACTTGACACACAAGTGGTTCTGACAGATCGCCTGGCAGTGGGTCCCGTGGGCGTCGCACCGACCGACCTTAGCTAACTGCATTCGCCACCTTGTGTCTGTCTGAAGGCTCTTCATCTCATTGATGAAATGGATTTGAACGGGGACAAAAAGCTGTCTCAGGAGGAGATTTTGGAAAACCAGGACTTGTTCCTCACCAGCGAGGCCACTGACTACGGGCGGCAGCTCCACGACTACTACTTCTATCACGACGAGCTGTAGGCGGCCGTCGCCACGGCGCTGGACCCTTTTCTACCTGTTACCAGCCTGACTTTTGTGACCAGATCCCATGTCGTAGTTCACTCTTCTGTCTTAACGCTGTCACAGTTCCCTCCACGTAGGTGATCGTTTGGGCCTTTTGGAAGATAAACACAAACCAATCAACCTGCTATTTATTTCTAAATAGTCCTTCCCGCACATTCCTCCCGTGTGGTGCCGCGTGCTGGGGGGACACCGGCGTGACCTCCCCACTCGGAGTCCCGCGGCCCCCAGAGCCCCCCCCCCAGCAGTCCGATGCCGGCCTGCGCATGCGCCACCCGGTGTTGTTCTATTCTAGGTCATTTTAAAGTTGGGGACTGCCAGGAAGGACGGTGTTTTTAGGTTTAGTATTTTGTTTTACAACCTTTAAAGGAACCTTGCAAAGGACTTCACACCTCACACGTTAATGCTGAGAAGTTCTGCCTCATTTTACAATGGTTTCTCTAAAGGCTTTTATTGTATGAAATAGAACTTTATATTTTTGCATATGTATAGATAGTAAGGATATTTAATGTATAACCCATAGCATTATGAGTGGGATGCAACTGTGGCCAGAGCCCTTTTCATTTGTGACTGATTAAAACACTGTCCTGTCTTTTTACACGTTTGCTTGTTTTTCTTTCATTTCGGGAAGAAGCCCTGCAGGGGGAGTGCAGCCTTTGCTGCGGCATTCCCTGCCTCAAGACAGTTAACTTATTTTCCTTGCACGTTCTTTTTAATGAAAAAAAATCCCCTTGTAACAGAATGTACCCAGACACAGTTAAAGGGCACTTATACCAAGTGAGTTTTTTTGCTGTTTGGGATCTAGAAACCAGAATGAGGTGGGGGCAGCTGCTCACAAGCCCCCCCCCCCCAGCCACAGCCCCAGGGACCCCTGCATCCCACCGTGGAGCACCTGCTTCAAGGCCTGGCTGCTCTGCTTGCACACAGCCTCCCTGCTAGTGCGGGCCTGGGAGGCAGCGGGTGGTACCTCAGGCCGGTGAGGTCCTGTCACTTCCAAGGGGGGCCCAGCTAGATTTCCATGCTCCTGGCTCTGGCCTCGCCGGGATCTGTGTGTGTGGGAATTTGGGGAAGAACAACCGGCGGATGACAGGTAGCTACACTTCTCTGTCTCTTTGCCTTTGAAGTCAGCAAAGAGCTGCAGGTTCGTATCACCAGCCACCGCTAGAGCTCAATTTCATTAATGCTCAAGTTACAACTGTACTTGGTCCACATTTGACCATTTCTCAATGGTCGATTTTGACCTCATTCAGGAGGCCAACTTAGCTGCTTTGGAATGAGCTGGGAAAAAGGAGAAGGTGAACATGCTTTTTCCTTCTTGTGAGCCACGGCTTTTGCTTTTCATCTATCTTCACTTAATTTCACAGCTCTGCTCGCCACTAGCGTTTTCCAGGTGAAAGTTGTTCCCGACCCGGCCCATACAGCATTGCTGGAGCTGAACCAGGACTTAAGAGCAGCTGAGAAGATACACTGTGCCCAAGTACTGACAAAAGTGGCTGTCGCTAGAAAAGGTGTCCGCCTGTGTGAGTTTGCCTTCCAGGGGGCGAACAGTGACTGCCAGAAGCACACTGGTGTTTATCAGGGAACTGCTTGCTCAGGGTTCACCTGCTGGACTCGGTGATGTGTGACCCACACGCAGGCACCCCGTCCACGTGGCAGCATCCATTACCTGCTGCCTCCCAGGGGCATCAGAAGCGAAGTAGCTGGGACTTGGAACCAGGCAAGCCAGCATCCCAAGCAGCAACACTGCACATGCCCACCCCTAAGCTTGTGTTTGCAAATTGTTTTCTTGGCAGTTTGGCCTCTTCGCATCCAAATAACTGCATTCAGAAAATGCTTACCATGTGACAGTTTCTGTGGTTGCCTCAAACGGCCTTGCAGCCATAACACACCTATTTCCTTTTTTTTTTTTTTTACACAAAAGTACAATACATGGATAATGAAAACATTTTTAAAAGGTGAATGTTATGATTTAATTAGTTAAACTACCACTTGGAATGCCAACATCTTATATGAGTACAGGTTCAAGTCCTGGCTGTTCCGCTCCAATCCAGCTCCCTGCAGATCTGCCTGGGAAAGCAGCAGAGGATGGCCCAAGCATCTGTGCCCTGACCGCCCATGTGAGAGGCCGGATTCAGTTCCAGACCCCTGGCAGCCATTTAGAGATGGCCCAGTAGTTGGGAGATCTGTGTCTTCCTCTTGGTATAATTCTTCCTTGAAAAATAAGTGAAATGAACCTTAAACAAAGGAATGTCTCTAAGATCCTTTTTCAGTGCTTCCTATGCCTGAGACAAGGAGGGTCTACGTGCACGGCGGGAGCAGCACTGGGTGGTGGCTCTGAGCCCAGGCTACGGGTCCGTATACTTGGTTGTGACAGCATGCCTCCCAGGGCCACAGAGATGTGCCTAGAGGAGGAACATATTTGAAAATAAAATAGAGTGAAAATATGTTTTTTTAAAGTGGAATGCAGGGCCCAGTGCAGTAGCCTAGCGGCTAAACTCCTCACCTTGCATGCACCGGGATCCTATATGGGCACTGGTTCATGTCTCAGTGGCCCCGCTTCCCATCCAGCTCCCTGCTTGTGACCTGGGAAAGCAGTCGAGGACGGCCCAAAGCCATGGGACCCTGCACCCGCGTGGGAGACCTAGAGGAGGTTCCTGGCTTTGGATCGGCGCAGCACTGGCCGTTGTGCTCACTTAGGGAGTGAATCATTGGACAGAAGATCTTCTTCTCTGTCTCTCCTCCTCTCTGTATATCTGACTTTGCAATAAAAATAAATAAATCTTAAAAAAAAAAGATGCATGAATGTGCACTGGATTTCAGGAGATAAGTAGGATATACAACAATAGGAAGTAAGACGTTTGATCTTTGAAGGGATGGTAGAAATCAATTCAATAGTGGCTGACCAATATTAAAAGAAAAAAAAGGAACAGAAAACTTACTTAGGGGATAATGCACATAGCTCAGTTACTACACATTTGAAATAGCTCACTACCAATGATAAAAGCCTACATGAGGTCAGCACAAAGCTACTGATAGACCAAGATGAAATAAGAGCTAGAAGGAAAAAAAAAAAACGGGAGAGGTGGACATCTGGCACAGCAGCTTTAAATCTGTACCTGGTTCAAGTCCTGGTGACCCCTGCTGCAGCCGTGGCAGGCACTTGGGGAGTGAACCAGACTATGGATGATCTGTCTTTCCCTCTCTGACTTTCAAATAAAATAAATAAATCACTAACATTAAAAAAATAACTAGAAGAGTCAACAGTGGTTGCCTTGAGACTAAGGAGCAGTGCGTGAGATGGAGTGGTGAGGACCAAGGGGAGGCCTTTCCCAATCTCCTTCAGAAGGTGCTTGAGTTGTCTTCTGCAAGGACACATCCGTCTAGGTACACTGGCATCATTTTTTAAAAGATTTATGCAAAAGCAAAATTATAGGAAAAGACAGAAAACTTCTGTGGTGCTCACCACTCCATCTCACGCACTGCTCCCTAGTCTCAAGGCAATCACTGTTGACTCTTTTTTTTTTTTTAATATTTATTTATTTTATTTAAAAGAGTTACAAAAAGAGAGGAGAGATCTTCTATCAGTGAATTCACTCCCAAACCATCACAATGGCCGAAGCTAGGTTGAACAAAAAAGCTGGGAGCCTGGAGCTTCTTCCCGGTCTCCCATGTGGATGCAGGGACCCAAAGACTTGGGCCATCCTCTGCTGCTTTCCCAGGCCACCAGCAGGGAGCTGGATGGGAAGTGGAGCAGCCAGGGCATGAACTGATGCCCATATGGGATGTTGGTGATACCTGCTAAGCCATCACGCCAGCCTCCACTATGAATTCCTATAATGCAAGCACATTCCACCCATGCAAGCAAGAGGACTTCAGATACCCCATTCTTTTACTCTGCCTTCAGCTGGTAGTTGAAAAGCAGAATGCATGAACTGAACAGAAATGAGTTTAATATGACTACCACCATAAATCTATTTCCCCGACCTGATATTGACAAAGAAACCTCTTTATTTATTTTTTTTTTCAGAGTAAGCATATAGCCTAGCAGCTCAGGACACCCTGGAACCCCACATTGGAACCCCAGTTTGACACTGAGCTCTGACTCTTGACTCCAGCTGAATGCTGGTGCAGACCCTGGGAAGCAGCAATGGTGGTTCAAGTGAACCTGCCACCCAGGGACTATGACTGCACTCCCAGCTCAGACTTGGGGTCACCTCAGCTACTGCGGGCGTTAAGGCAGTGAATCAGCAAGTGGGAAACCTCAGCCTGCCTGCCTTCCTAAACATTTAAAAAAATTGTCATCTTGGGGCTGGCACAGTGGCTCGCAGCTTACTCCTCTTCCTGGAGCACCAGCAGCCAAAATAGACAATGATTCTAGTCCCGGCTGCTCCACTTCCCATCCAGCTCCCTGCTTGTGGCCTGGGAAATCAGCAGAGAATGGCCCAAAGCCTTGGGCCTCTGCAGCCACACTGGAAACCCAAAAGAGGTTCCTGGCTCCTGGCTTCAGATCAGCTCAGCTCTAACTATCGCTGTCACTCGGGGAGTGAACCAGAGGGTTGAAGCTCTTTCTCTGTGTCCCTCTCTCTATGTGACTCTGCCTTTCAAATAAAAATAAATCTTTTTTTTTTTAGTGGTAATCTTATTTTTCAATAAATTAATTTTTTATTTAAAAGGGATACAGAATGTTCATATTACAAGATGAAAAGAGTTGTTGACCTGAATGAAGGACATGGCTGCACAATATTATGAGTTAAAATGGTTCTGTGTATTTTATCACAATACGGAAAACAGAGTCTGGGCAGCACTTACACAAGTTAGAATGCTACATGCTACAAGAACAAGCACATGACGTCTGAGCAAATGCACTAAGTTTCCAAACGTCCAAGCGCCTGGCACTGTGATATGGGATGCCAACATGCTGATCGGATCACCTGTTTTGAGTCCTGGCTGCTCTGTTTCTGATCTGGTTCTCTGCTAATGTGCCCTTGGAAGGCAGCCGGTGACGGCCCTGTCACCCACCTGGGGGACCATTCTTGGCTCCTGACCCAGCCCCAGTTGCTGGAACCATCGTGGCAGTTAATCAGCAGATGGAAGATGTGTTTTTCTCTCTGTTACACTGCCTTTCGGATTAAAAGCATCGTTTCCATGCCATCCCCATTCCTCACATGGTGGATATTGAAGCCAATCTATTGCGAGGACATGAGACCTCGCAGTTCCCACTGAGCACTTGGGCTGCCCAAGGCTCCTTCCTGCCGAGGTGTCCTCTGCTGAGCTACACCCATCCTCACTACCACCGAGGCTCTCCCACCTCAGACATTTTGCTCATTTCCAAATTCAGCCTGTCTCATGTTACAGCAGGCTGAGGTGCTCCTCCCCTCCCCCGACTATTTCCTGTCTCGCCAAAGCATTTTCCTCGCCCCGCCCCCCCCCCCCCATCGCCCTTGTTCAGCACACTTTTCTGTATTTGTGGCTACGGGCTCATCACAGCTAAGGACAGCTGTTCCTGTCCAAGGAGCCACTTCTATCCCCAGAGAGAAGAACCTCCAGGAACTGCAGCCATTTCTTGCTTTTCTCTTGTCTTGTCAGTTTTGGGGGTTG